CTGTTTAGAAACAGATAAGAAACTTGTGAGAAGTTTCTTATCAGTTTCTTATATGGTTTTAATATGTTCTTATATAGTTCTTATATATCTTATAAAATTCTTACAAAGTTCTTATATGGTTCTTATATGCTTATTGGACACAAGAAATTTCTCATACCATAGCCTCCTCTATACTAACAAAGCCTGACAGATCGCCGCGAGACGCGGCCACCAAAAGTGAAAAGATAGAGCAGCAGACACAAGGCTAAAGCCCCTCCACAAGATGGATGGATGGATGGATGGATGAATACGGCTGAGCCCTTTGGAGCGGGCGGTAGCTTACGCCACCTAGCCATTTTGTTTTACCATTTAAGCTTAGAATATTTAAATGTGAAATCTATATTCACTCCGCAGTGCAAAGAAAGTGAGGCTATGAAACCCCCTTGCCATCAGTGATTAAGAAAATACCTAGTTTTCTCTCGATTTCTGCCACCATTCACTTAATCTTTGCTTGGTAATCTCTACAGTCTTGAAATCCACTCTCCCTTCGCTGTCTCTAAAACCCAATGACTTTATTAAATCTATGTTGTCTTCGGTAGGCATAGGGTGAAGCCCTTTACAGTAGAGTATCAAGTGCTCAGCCGTCTCGTCCTCCTCTCCACAAGCAGTGCACACTGTATCAATTTCCTGGTACTTCACTCTGTATGTTCTGGTTCGCAGAACACCCGTTCTTGCCTCAAACAGCAATGAGCTTCCCCTAGAATTGTCATAAATGCTTTCTTTGGCAATAACTCTTTTGTTTAATCTATAGCTTTCCACAAGAGGCATGTAACGGGCGCCCCGCTGCGGCGAGATGCCGAAACACATTTGTCCCGAGCAATGGAATGTCTGCTCGTGCTTCTCGCGTTCCTCGGGCTACTACTTCCTTTCTCGTCGGGTTTGAAACCCATGTTTCGGGTCCTCGCCGCTGTAAAAGCTGTGCGCTGACTACAAGCTCCCCGAGAAATGCTCTGTCCTACCAAATCTTCGCGCTCCAATTCTGCGACCGGGCACTCTATGACTCCGTCATCGAACTGCCAGGCTTTGTGAGTATAGAGGAGGCAAATCTCATACGAATGGCTTTTTCACTAGGGTAGGGTATTCGCATATCGATCGAAGGCGCGTAAGGCGCGGCGGCCTTATCTAATGCTTGCCTCCTGGCACGCCTCGCGGGATCGAGTCGTCAGCCGGTGGTCGCGTGACGGATTCGCCACTAGAGGCGCCGGCTTCCAGAACCACGACCAACTCTATATCTACGACCATGTTACCCGGACCGGAGCGCGCCTATGGGGAGTGTTGTCCCATGAGCTGCCGATATACTTTCGCGGCGTCCCGCTAGATGGCGCCATAACTCAGCTGTTCAAGGCGTGCTAAAAATGCCTGTGGTGATGGGCTTGTACGCGTCCGACGCAGTCGCAAATTGCTTATGAATGGTTTGCTTTCACTTCATTATTTAACACAAATTCACCGAATGAACGACACTACAATCAGAGCACCACTTAAGATAAATGGAAAGAAAAACAGCACTTGAACTGAGGTCTATTTTACTCTACGGGGTGTCGTACAAAAAATCGCATAAACAAGCCAAGGAACAGAGTGTCGTGAAAGTTTTCAGAAAGGGGCCTTCAGGTGCTGCCTTTATCATACTAAAATTTTGTGACTGTAGGTTGTTGGGGAAATGTCCTAGGGAAAGAAAAGCCTGTTTTCCCCAATGCGCGGGAAAAAACAACAACAAATGGTCAGGTTGACGCTGCTCTTTGTGTGTGGTACCACACACGCTCGAATCTTCTGAGTCTACTTTAGGGTGGTAATCTCCAAGAATATTTAGAGAGTCTGTATCATGTGGTGTCCTATGGAAGTAGCAGCGTCAACCTGACGGTTTGCCAACCGCGCATAGGAAAAGAAAGAAGTTCTTATGTGGGGGGGGGGGGGGGGGGGGTTCTTTTTTTTCATTTTTCCAGACATTTTCACTCACCAATTTTGAGCATGATCAATGCACCATCTAAAAACGCCTTTCTGGAAGGCCTCTGGATGCACATTTACAGTCTGTCAGCTGATGGACTTGGAATGTGTATGTTTGGGCGCGGAAAGGGGTGGGGGGGGGGGGGGGGGATGGGGGGGATAAATTAATGGTTACAGCCGTACAGCATGACCGCCAACTTTTGGGGTGTACACTAAATGCAACACTTGCGGCGTTCTCCAGATTCATGGCGAACCCGACGACAGGAAGACGCATGTATGAACCCCACCAGGATGGACAGAGAGCTGTGTTTAATTTTTCGCAGTACATATAGATTACGCGCTAACGGTTGGAGCCAGATTTCAAAGTCTCTGAACTCACTTTTATCTGATTTTCAAGTTATAAGCGATGTTCTGACATATTCAAATGTGATACCTAGGGCTCGTTGCCAGTAGCAGACGCCTCACAACCATGTATGTGCGGACTTCGTTAGCCGCCATTTCCTCGTGAAAAATGTACGACAATTGCTTATAACTGTAGGATTATATAGCTACAAGTTTTGAAACACCGCCGTCAGCTCCAAACGGGAGAAGAGCGCTCCGCCACGCGTACGTTATTTTTACATTAAGGAAACCATGCTCCCCTTTTCTTCCTAACGCAAGATATGTTTACAATAAGTGCCATGGTCGGAGGATGCTTTTACTTTAAGAGCTTTAAAGCAACACGCGGCTTGATAGAACGAAAGCAAACGCGGAAAAGAATGCAGCATACTACCTGTGTAAATGGCATCCGAAGAGCATGGAACAGCCAACGGCAGCGGAGGAGCAGCTGAGATGCACCTCCATCTCTCGGGAGGAGTGCACAGCAGGGTGCGACCTAAGCGGGAGCTGTGGCTCTCGCGGATAAAGTGGGCGTAAGTAAAAAGAGTTGGTCGTGGCAAGAGCAGTGGCTATATATGGGTGATACGAGAGGGCACCTTATTTCAACGATGGCAAAAGAGCAGTCGGGGGTAAAAAACCTCTTGCGCTTCCGTGCCTGAGAAACGCGCTGTTTAGATCCAAGCAATCATGAGAGCGGGGCACACCGCTACGTGATACCGCTACTGCAGCCTGCTGGCGACACGCTACTGTAGGTGTTCTTAAAAAACAGACATCACCAGCCGCGCGTCGGGCGGACTGTGCGCTATACAGGCTGGGAATCGCGTTTGGTTCGCAGAGAATCCTTTACCGACGTCCCCAATGGTAAAGTGACGCACTTCATCGGCGGCAGCGTCTTCCATAGGTAGCTATTCTGCGGGCAAGTCAGAATTACAGTAGGTCGTGGTAGCGATCAGCATGCAGTCAAGGGCTGGATGAATTTGAATTTGATGAACAAGTCTCACCAAGCTGGTGCATGCTGGGAGGTACTTGAGCCAAGAATGGCGGAGCGTCGCCGCCAATCTAGTTTATCGTGGAGGCGCGGCGCCGGAATCTCCAGTACACCAATGGGAGCGTACTCGCAAACAGCGAAGCGTCACCGGCAGTCATATATTACAGCTCCATAGGCTGCGCTTACGGACGATGTTAGCTCCCCGCATGACGGATGACGGAGGTGGACGTAGTGACCTTTCATATAGTCCGCCTCGTTCGACAACTCAACACCTATAGGTATTTATACTTGTTCAGTACCTGTAACACATCAACGCCCAACCTGAGGCTATCGGGCTTTTTTTTTTTTCTCAGTGCCCGCGAATTGTATCACGGTTGAATTTGATACGTTATACTTGAGATGAAGCACGGTATTTTCATCAGCACATATGTCGAGAAGTTGTTATATCCCGACGACTGATAGCATCAGCGCTGCCGTGCGGATCATGCCCATTTGACGTTTCTGTCATAATGCAGGGAAGCAAAGGACACCAACACCATTACTTCCAGCCTACTATGCCGAATCAGGCAATGAGCACACCTCCCCCTCCAGTCCAACTCTTTCAAGGTCACGAAGTGTGGTTCGCTTTGCGTCGTGCGCAACTATCGTCGAGCAGCGCGACAGAGATCAGCTCGGGCGTTCGGGGCGACCGACGAGCAGTGCTGGCCGGCTCCTTTTTCAACAACCTCTTTTGTAAATTGTGTGCATAAAAACAATAACTACTGCGTGGTGCACGTTAAATAACCCCGGCTAGCGGTTGTACTGCGCTCAGGCTAAATTGCTCATCTACAGCTGAGACACCCTACGCCATTTGGGGCTAACTAACATCCGGTTCTATAAACATATAACACAATTACAAGTTGTGTACATAAAGATGTGGTTTTCCCTTCAACTGGCCTCTACAATATGAAAGAAAATATTTAAGCTGTCCGTGGGCGGCACTGTCGTGTTATTTTCCCCAAGTTCCTCAGTAGAACTGCATCAGTCAGTGTCGGGGGTCAGTGCGATGGTGCTAATGGTGACATACAAAGTCGAAAGGAATCAAACACTAAACAAGCCTCGCAATTACTATAGAGCGCTCTATTACGGCTTGTGTTTCAGTCGGTCGTTGAGCCGGAACAAACGTACCGCGAAGTTAAATACATCCGGTTCTGTGACGCATAACCAAGGTGGCACAAAAATCATTGACCGAATAAACGATCATTACCGAAGTCCACTAATTCTGTATTGTCGCAAATAAAAATAATGAATTGAAAGTGATGTGTAACTCACCCCAAGAAGAGAGGCGAGGCATGCCAAATAGAAAATTTTTGCCACTGACGTTCACTGGTTCGCGCAGATGGCGGATTTACAACCAATCCAAGACAGAGATTTGTTCCTAGTTATGTCCGACGTGAAACATATGAAGTCACTAGCAAACGTTTCACGAGCAGCAGAGCATGTCTACTGTACACAAAAAGTGTGTAGCGTTTAGACAATTTCTCACCGTTATTGCATCTTAATTGGAACGTGCGTGCACCGTAAAGACGTCATGCCAACGTGCATTGTTAATATATCTTAATATAGCGTTGGATGTGTATCTCAAAACGTCCTATCTTTCCTTGTTTTTTTCCAGTTCCGGTCTGCCATAGCGGATGTTGATGGCGAGCGTACGGACCGTTTCCTGCTGCGATGGCTGCGAGGTGAGTACTGCACGCCGAAGCGGCCAACGTTGTTAGGTCTATCAGTTAAGAAGCTCCATAGAAAAGCGCCGTTTAAAAACGGTTCTTTTTAGAGCGCAGCTCTTAGGGGTCCGTTCCCGGCTTGAGCGGCGTCGCCGTCGGTGTAATTAACGCACCCCCAGGTCACGTGGCCCCCAAGGTCATCCCAAGGTCACATGACCCCAAGGTCACCCCAAAGTCACGTGACCCCCAAGGTCACGCGACCTCTCCCCAGGGTCACGTGACCCCCAAGGTCACGTGACACCCAAAGTCACGTGACTTCCCAAGTCACGTGACCCCCGAGGTCACGTGACCCCCCGATGACGTCATCAGTGACGTCACTGATGACGTCACCGGCATCCGCATCGTCATCGTCATTATCACTGATGACGATGACGATGCGATGACGCCCTCATCACTGATGACGTCATCAGTGACGTCACTGATGACGTCACCGGCATCCACATTGTCATCGTCATCATCACTGATGACGTCACCGGCATCCGCATCGTCATCGTCATCATCACTGATGACGTCATCAGTGACGTCACTGATGACGTCATCGGTATCCGCATCGTCATCGTTACTGATGACGTCATCGGCATCGTCATCGTTACTGATGACGTCATCGGCATCGGCATCGTCACGTGACCCCCTAGGTCACGTGACCCCCCCCCAAGGTCACTTGACCCCCTCCCCCCCAGTACCCTTCCCTCCTCCTCCTCAAGAGCTGCGCTCTAATTCGGCGTTACAGGGAGTTGTAAACAGCTTTCACTTTCTGTTCCATACACGCAAGCAGGTACGAACTAATAGGGAGTTTTCGTAGACCGCGTTTCCCTCCCCGCTAAGCCCTCCGCAACGAAGCAGCCGCTACTGCGCCGGCGCGCCGATGGCCTTGACTGTAGAGTTCCGGGTAGCGTAGCTGGTTGCGGAGAGCGTTGCGGAACAGCGGAAACGATCTACGAAAACTCCCTAATAACGCTCCTACCTTACCAGCGGCAACGCCTTTACAGGCCTTGGAGAAGGGTCGTTTTTGAACGACGCACTTTTTGCGCTAACTTTTTGTTTACCATGAAAACCACAATAGAATCACACTTCACTACAAGCAATGTGCGTCCAACATTCCACCGATTCCTCCTCTTCTCCCAAAATGGTGGGCTGATAGCGTAACGAATGCCACCGAGCGAACACGCCACGAAAAGGCGCCCAGCGTCCTAGGAAGCTTGTCAACTGATTTTGATCTAAACTGCGTGTCACTAGTCGTGTGCAGTGCGGGCGAAGGCAACGCCAGGCGACGAGAGAAAGGGCGAGCACTAGGGATGTTATTTTTCGGTAAAGGACACAGTCGTCGGAAACTAGGCACATGGGTGAAGATACCTGAAGAGGAAGATCGTTGACGTAAATGAGAAAAAGTAACGGACCTAGCACCGTTCCCTGAGGCACACCAGATGTTACGGGGCTATAGTAGATGAACAATCATTAACATAAACAAACTGATGACGCTGAAAGAGAAAAGATTCAATCCAGGAGAGAACATTATTATCGAGGTTAAATGAGAATAGTTTTAGAAGCAGTCCGTTATGCGGAACTTTGTCAAATGCTTTAGCGAAGTCGAGAAATACAGCGTCAGTGGAGAAGCCAGAATCAAGGTTTGCGAACAGGTCGTTGGTTAAGCAGAGAAGTTGGGTTTCGCAGGAGTAGCTTCTACGGAAGCCGTGCTGCGCTTCGTTAAAAAGGGAGATAGAATCAAGGTGGATAGATAGTTGCTTGTGGATTACGTGCTCGAGTATTTTAGAAGGTACATAACTTAGAGATATTGGCCTATAGTGTAAAGGAGAAGATTTTATCATCGCTTTGTGGACCGGGATGACCTTGGCGACTCTCCAATCCTCAGGAACCGCCGCCGTATCTACTGATTCCGGAAATTTTTCTGTTAAAAATAGGCTTGAGGAATATTTTCAGCTTTGTAAGACCTTAGAATTTATTCCGTCGACACCACAGGGAGAGGACATTTTCAGTGACATAATAATATTAACAGTACCTTCGAAATCAATACAGATTGGATCCATAGGTAAAACATTGCTAGTAATAAGTAAGGACTGTGTTAAGGGACAGTGGGCAGTGAATTGGGAAGAAAATAAATGATTTAGAACTGTGGCACATTAATTACTCTCAATAATGTTCTCAGAATCATCAATAAGCTCAATAAGCGCTAGCGGGGAGTATGGTGCATGATTAACAACATTCCGAAGTTGGCGCGAGCTGTTTAGTAGCATAGATGGAAGGGTTTCCTGGTAGAATATACGCTTCTGCTGCTCTAACATAATTTCATAATTAGTGAAACATTCATTATATCTAGACCAGGATAAAGCAGTGTCTTGTTTCTTGGCTACTAGAAAACGTCGTTTTTTTTGTTTTTTTTTTTCTTATTGTTGAGGGTTTTCAGTGAGTGCGAGTACCAAGGATTAGAAGACCGGGAACTTATGTTAATAGTTAGAACATGAGCTTCAATGAGTTGCAGTAATTTGTTTTTAAAACGGCACCAATTTTCATTTATATTCCTGTCATTAAAACCCTCCAGGAAGACTGAGAAGTAGCTCGAGAAATTTTGGTTAAGCTGCTCGTAGTTTGTTTTACTATATAGCCTTATTTGCTCCGTCAGCCTGTTTGGCTCTGGTGCTTGAACTCCTAGGTTATAGAACACTGCTTCGTGGTACCTGGTGCCTTGAAACTCGGTAAGAGAGGTAATATATTTAGGATGGTTAGTCAAATGCAAGTCTAATATATTTGAACATGTGTTGGTTACACGGGTAGGGAAAGAAATCATCTGCGAAAGTCTAAAATCCAGGCAGAGACTTAAAAAATCGCGACACTCACCAGAACTTCCACTACAAGCAAGAGCTGATAAATTCCAATTTTTTTCACGGAAGTTAAAATCGCCTACTAAAAAAACAGAATGACCAAAATGTTGTGTGAACAAAATTGACAATTTATCACGCAAAAACGTTTAAAAAAACAAAATAGGGGAGAAGAGCTTTCTCTCCTCCTGTTCAGCCTTCCTAATGCTTATCTTTTCTCCCCTCGCCTAGAGTAGCCTTAGTTTGTACTGGACGAAACTAGTGACACGGATTATAGTAGCGTTGGAAGCGACTAACTGTGGCGTATTAGAAAATGGAGATCCAAAATTAATCAGACAGGAATATCTTGTTCTTTATTCATTCATTATATTTTAGCGACTGAACATCACACAGGGGGTGGCCGTTCACCGTGCAATGTGGTTTATCTAACAATTCCTGACGGCAGAATAAAACATGTATTGGATAATACATCGAGCTACGAATGCACGCGAAACACGCTTATAGTAGCTTGCCAAGGACAGCAGAGCAAAAATGCGAAAACGCAAACATCAGATTTATCAATGCTCCTCATTGGAACATTTAAAAATGCTTACTGAAGACAGTTGGCAGTCTAGAGAGTCGATGCATGCATATGAGCGCGGATATTAGCGAAAGGCGGAAAAACTATACATTGACAACGACAAGAAATTTCACGGAGTGGTTAAAAAAAATGCCGGCATTAAAATGCATGTCTGTAAGAACTGTCAACCTATTTTTCTTCTTGTACTGTCCGTAATATCAGTGCACTTTGACGAGCTCAGCTGAAGCAAAAATTTAAACTGTTTTCTTCTCAACCTGAGGCAGTTTATGCCTGAGGATACCTTTCAAGTGTTAACAGTCATAGGACTTCTTGCTTGTGTCTAAAGCCGCGGCCGCACAGCTAGCACATTATAGGTCTTTTCGCCCAACAATCGCATGGAAGCTGCCGTATTGGAATCACGTGACGCTAATGCCATAAGTTTGCCTCAACTCGTCGCTCCGCTCTCCCCTCCGCACCATGGCGGATGCATAGCATTTGTGTCTTCGGTCTCGTTTCGCCACGTCTTTTGCCGTACTCCATAAAGTGTCATCCGATACTTGCATCTGCTATACCTATTTGAATTCAGCCAGATCCGATAACTTAATCAAAAGTTATTAGTGATTTTCTGAAAATTTCAATGGGAAAATGGCGGCCGACGGAGTTTTCAAACACATGGGGCTCTATGGCACCAGAAACCGAAAACGGGCAAAAATGGGCTCCATTTTCCCATTCAAATTTTTAGAAAATCACTTATAACTTTTGATTAACTTATCGGATCGGGCTGAAACTTTCGCATCTGGTTGTGACCTTTAGCTCTACCTTTGGGCGGAGAATGAGCGTTTGGCGATTCTATTTTATTTTTGCAGTACAAAAGATCGTGTAAATTTTCTTTTGTGACACCATGTAGACGCGGAGGCATTTCTTAAAGTGGGGTCGTAAACAAATAAAAAAAACGCAATTTATACTCAGATCGGTTTTGAAATTGGCTCAGCGCAAGTTTTATTGGTAGTGCACTGTAGGGGCACATTTTTATTACAAAACAAGGCGAAAACTGCATAAAACAGCCATACAGCAGCCGCGTGCACGTTGAAACCGAAACCAACAAAATTGAAGGAACCTAATGGTGGCGGCGAGTCCGTGAGCGCTCTCTATCCGTCAGTAGGGCAACTACTCGGATGTAGAGGATACAAAAAGACAGCCTGCAGACAGGTGCATATCTTTCTTGGATAGCGGCCCTGTCACATTGGTTATACGTAAACTGTCTGTAGACATGTTTGGAGCACACAAACGTACAACATGTTTCGAACATGCTCTAGGTGATTCCGTCATCATGTCTGTTGTCAACACCGTGTCGTTTCTAATGTATGAGAAGTGTGACTGTGCGGCTTTGGTGTCCCAAGTTTCCGATTTGAGATTCACGACCAGCCATCCTGCAGTTACGTTGTTAAACTACTTTAATAATCACTAATTTCATCCACCAGCGCGTCATCCTGTGACAGCTTGAAGCTGAGCTAGTTGGTTGTTCGCTTATATATGGAGCAAGCTGAGAAATATAAGTGTGTAACCTTCCTTCTGTGTATGTGTATGAGTCATTCTGTCCTGGTGATTTGGTGTGTCGTTTCTCGTGAATTGTCTGAAGTGTGAGGTAGGGTGATCGTTTTCACTCTCCTACCGGCAGCTCGAGAGTTCGACGTGTCCAAGGCCGAGGACATGTTTCGACAGGTGAGTCCTCCTAAAGCAAATCACATATATTCGCGACTCCAGCGACCTATAGGGGGCGCCACCACCAAACAAACATGGCGGCTGAGTCCAGGTCGCGTCGGCTCGGCCGGGCCGCCTGAATAGGTGGCGCATTCAATTTAACAAATTTTCTTTTGTTCAATGCCCAATTTTATGGGTATTTGAACTGAGACAGTTAAGTGTAGCCGGTGCGCATAAACTTGCCGAGCATAGTTTTGTTTTGCCGGTGTTTTTTGTTCTTTTCATGTCGAACTTTCGTTTCGGAGACTTCGATCAAAACCGAAACTATGGGCTCCGGAGAAACGGTAATAGACTATAATTAGTTTTGATCATCTAAATAAAGCGGCGAGGGCTACAAAATTGTTCCACCGAGAGTAATTTTTAGCTAACTCGCATGCCTCGACCATGCGACTTATCTGTCCGCGAAATTGAGCTTTTGTGCCTCTCCGCGTTTCAAGAAACAGCTCCAGTCGTGTGCTCGGTCAAGAACACAGGCTGCAGGAAAATTACGAAAATTAAGCAAGCGCTTCTTGAGCCAAGGAGCATGTCAACTCGCTGGCGCTTCATTAAGCAGCTGATACTCGTATTTAAATTCAGGTTTTAGTAGCAATCGAGAAGTCATTTTGATGAATATGCGGATTATGTATTATATTACGTACTATATGGTCCCCCCAAAGCGATATTAGTATATTCTTCGGGTTGAAATATGAACTTGGTTGACTAACTATTAGGTGAACTGCTGAATAAAAGTATATTTGACAGACAGAGAGATACTACTTAAACTTAGCCAAATGGCTCTAGCCGGCAGAACGGAGACGAATACGGACAAACTGAGGAGAGTCTTCATCGGAGATTCACTCAGACCTCTCTGCATTGAACTTGACTTCGAATCCTGAACGGATAAAATGAGTATTTTTTTGTGGCCGGTCAACCTGAGCAATGTAGACGTATGTTGCTGCTGGCTTCGACAGGGGTTATAATATAAATATTGGAGGCGCGATAAATCCTAATGACGTGACAGCTTCTAACTTTGCGAGATGTGTCCCCCACCTTTTGAAAGCAGATAATTTCCCTCATTAATCATATGCAGCGAGCAGGTTTTCTGAATCAAGTAAATGCGAAATTAGCCCAACTCCTTCAATGTGGTCTTTTTCGGCGAAAAGCCGCCAAAATGAATAGCCAACGCACCGGCCGGCGTTAGTGGCTCAAATTAACTTGAATCTAATCGAGCACAACCAAACTCAAGGAAAGCAGCTATCGAACCTTCCCATTCACTTGACTGCAGCATTGGTGTTCCCTCCAGTAAAACACTTCGTCTGTCGACCTCAGTCCACTGTTCTACACTCTTATAAGAAAACCACTTATCAGTTACCAAGCAGTCGTCACTTTGAATGTGATTAGAGACAGACGAGAAATCAAAACGTTTTTCCGTGATTCCTCCTCATCCAAAAAATTGAAAGCACGCGACCGTGTGTTGTGGAGTAAACGGGCTTTCAAACACGTGATGGAAAGAAACAATATATTGAGGCTTCACCACACTAATGAACGCTCAGGCAAACTTAAGAAATTTTCGGACCTTCGTCAAATTACATTGCTCGCCCCCGCGCCGACAGCAGGTGTCCGCAAAAGCCATCAGAGACGCGGCGGGGCGCGGAGCGACCTGGACCGACTGGTTCCCGGTTTTCCCGCTTGGCGGCGTCCGTTTTGCTGGAGTCGCGAATATATACTGTCTCCCCAGGCGTATGACGTCACGAAGAGAGCAGCGTGGAAAGACTCAGAAAGGTATAATCCAGCAAACATAACGGTCGTTCATGAGAAAAAATAACCATGGTTTTCGGCCCTCGTAAGTACGAGTAAACTACGCTGAAAGCCAAAACTCAGTCAGATAGTGACGCTAGCGGCAGGGGGCTCATTCATAAATTTTGTTTTCTCACAAGTACCCTTTGATACAGGCGACGTCCTGTTGTCAATATTTCGTGTTCGGTCGCAACCGCTACCGTCACGTTCTTGCGGAGCTTGGGCTGTCTGTGATGCAAAATGTATGCACGGGGGACGACATATACGGCTTTCTTTTCTCGTGTACGCGGCACATAGAATCCCACAGCAATAAAGACGCCAATGAGAGATGCTTCAAAATGACTGACTCTGCTGGTCAGCTGCAGCTGCTGTTATGAATGAATGTAGGGACTAGCAGCAAGATGAGCTACAAAATCATCGTGCCCATGCAGCCAAATCAAGTTTCCATTAAGTAATATAGTGGTGAATTCACCCCGTAAAATGCACCGCCGAAATAAGCACGCAATCGGTCGAAAGCAAGCAAAAGAGTCGTCAACTTCCTGCTCCTATTGGGAGATGGCGTAACAAGTATTATTTCGGGCTTCTGCGTAGTGTGTTTTGTGTTGGAGCTCGTTATCGAAAAAGTCTATGCTGTGTTAAATTTTCAAACAAACAAAAAAAAAAACAAGGAAACTACGGCTTAAAACTTTACCAAGGTAAAATCCACACCGTAAATGCATATTCCATAAAACGTTTAGAACCTGCAACCACCAATTATTTTGGCTCATTTTACTGGAACTCGCTCGACCATAGGCTCTATTCTCAATAACCTATAAATGCCATACAATAATCTCAGCTATATCAATTTGCAATCGGAATATGTTATCGAGCTTCTGTTTTTTCGTTATTACAATACTGCCTCAGAAGCAAAAAATGCGGATGTCTTCAGATGCGACAATTCAGATAAAAGAAAAATGTGGGCAAGTAGAAATAAGAAAGCCTCATATCATTTATGCTCTTTGCTTCTATCTGTTTTAGGTTTTGCCAAAATGAAACTGCGAAAACAAACCGGATTTCCTTGAACGATAAGCATGAAAGGCTTGTGTGAGCACTATTTAACAAAGTCTAAATACTTTTGGTGTTCCTTTTCAAGCAGGTAGACTTGCCCTGAACAATCTTGGTCAGTTTTCTAACACTTGCCACTGAAGGGCGTTCTGAAAATTTTAATGGCCGTCTATGCAACCACGTAGAGTTCTAAGTGATCGCTTTCTCACTGGGGCCGCACGCGCTACCGCAGGACGTCGAGTGGAGGTCAAAGAACGGAATGAGCAGCATCTTGGAGGATTACCAGCCGGGCGAGGTTAGTTTTGAGACGCGCAGTGTCCTTCAGACGTCCCACGGTAGCTTCGTTGCTGTTACGCGTCGTGCAGCTGATTCAGCGTTACTTCCCTGGCGGCCTGCTGGAATGCCATTCCAAGGGACACCCGCTCTTCTTGGTGCCTATGGGCAACGTCGACATTAGAGGTGAGTGCGTGCAATATATCAGGCTTTTACAGTTCGCTGGCTGAGCTGCCTGAGAAACCAACACTTTAAGGCTGTGATATGGCGCCTGCAGCGCGTCCCCGACTAGCGTGTTTCCCGCATCCTCAAATGTGGTCCCTCGACTTTCGCCTGATGACGCCATGGAAATGTCATTGCCCGTCACGATACTGACGGTGGCACAACAGTGGTGGCGCATACGGCAGACGCCCTCAGCTGTGTTTCGCTCTTCGCTCGACAGTCAACGGACGCAACCGCAAGCTTGAAGGCCGCGACGACAGTGGCGTTGGCGTTCGCTCGTTTTTACCGCAACTCCTACGACTAGCCCTCGGAATCGTGACATCCCACATCGTGACAAGGCTGGTCCCGCAACGTAATTTGATGTCGCTTCGAGACCACTACTGACGCATGGACGGTGTAAGTAATAACACCTAGAAGACTAGGCAAAATGATTTGTTGGCCTGGTTGGATAAACATGCATTATGAAAATAAAAAGCGCGAAAGACAAGGACAAGAGGGAGACTACACAGGACAAGCGCTTACTCGCAACTGACGTTTTACCTGTGGGAAGGTTTATGTGAGACAGTCCGGAAGACGTATCGACGTAAGGCTCAGAGAGCATGCGGTATCTCTAAACTCCTCTCCGTCGAGGCATCTCGCCCTACATGTGAGGAACTGTGGATGCGCCCCGCTACTGTCCAGCACAAGGATTCTGAGGAAGTGGTTAGATAAGCGAACTCGCAAGATTTTCGAGGCTAAAGTCATATCAACCAAAGGAGACGCCTGCATCAGTGCTTCATCGGTGACTTTGTCATCAAGCGAATTAAAGTACATAAAATATTTTCCTTGGATATTCTTAATTTGATTTACCTTGCTTTTTCTCTTCTTTCTTAATTTTTTCACTGTAAATTTTTTTCACTGTCACTTTAATCATATGGGAAAGAAAAAGAAGTGGTCAATGTCGAGGTTGTTCTTGACAACGGCTCCTTGATTTTCTGGCAAGTTTGGAGACTGCATCCTTTGTTTCCACCTTCTCCGGGGCTCTGTTTATACAACCGGACTACTCGACGCCCAGAAGATCCCGTCCTGGGTCAAACTGGGTACCTAGACCACTAATTTCACGACAACATTTATCTCACGGACTGGAACAGTGAATATTTAGAAGAAAGCCCGAAACTTGCGTACGCCAGTTTCCTAAAAAAATTTCTGCATTGTTACGACAGAGCTTTCCCACTGAGACAGATTAACAAGCGGAGAAATAAATTTCGCAAACCTTGAATGACTCCCGATTTATACACACGCGTTAAAGAAAAAAATAAAATGTACCACGACTTTCGTAAGTGTAAAGACCAAGAACCTCTTGCTGCATTCAAGAAATATAGAAACAAACTAACCTCTGATTTAAAAAATGCCAAACAAGAATACTACATGCACCTGTTTTATCTCGTTCAGAGTGACCCCAAGAAGATAGGGGAAGCCGTAAACACCTTAACAAATAAGCATAGTCATTCCCGGGATATAAATCACGTGATTATTGATGGGAATCATGTGAGCGGTATAGAACTATGTAATTCGATGAACGAGTGTTTCGTAAATGTTGGTGCACGTTTAGAATCCGACAATGAGCCCTTACGCGGTGGCATGATGACCACGGATTCTATAACCAATTCGATAATGTTATCACCAACCACCCCACAAGAAATAGAAGGTCGTATAAGCAAGATAAAAAATAATGTAGCCCCTGGCTTAGATGAAATAAAACCCACTCCCATTAAATATGTTTCTAAAATCAAAAGTAACATCTTATCCCATATAATAAATTGTACTCTAGAATCGGGTATATTCCCAGACCCCCTAAAAATTGCTAGTTACCCCTGTCTTTAAAGGAGGGAAACCGTATCTACAAAATTATAGACCTATATCAGTCTTGCCAATATTTTCGAAAATATTTCAGGGAGTTATACAAAGCCGATTATATAATTTTTTTTAAAGCATGATGTCATAAACAATTCACAGTATGGTTTCCAAAAGGGCAAATCATCAGAGCAGGCACTTGTTGAGACGAAAGATAAAATAATATATAACATGGAAAATAAAGTATACACACTGGTAGTTTTTATAGAGTTTAAAAAAGCATTCGACACGATTCAACACCAAATGTTGTTAAGTAAACTTGAACTGTACGGAATACGAGGAGTAGCTTTGGCTTTAATAAAACATTATCTAACAAATCGCCTTCAATTTGTCAAAGTTAACAACTCTGTCTCAACCACGTTGGAAGTAAAATATGGTGTCCCTTAAGGTTCTATCCCAGGCCCCTTGTCGTTCCTCCTTTATATTAATGACATTACTGCTATTCCTAGATCTCCAGAACTGATTATATACGCAGATGATACCAACGCATTTTTCGCCTCTGCCTCCAAAGCATCCCTAGAGTCAATGGCAAATAGCTATCTCGCTGAATTAGCAGTGGGGCTCCATAAAAATAAACTGCAACTAAATTCTAAGAAAACCAAGTATATAATTTTTGCTACAATAAACAAACATGATAATACTCCAATAACTCTGTATTTCGAAAACACGATTATAGAGCAAGTCCCCGAACAAAAACTTTTAAGCGTTTGGTTTAACCAGGAGCTTAGCTGGAATGCGAATGTAAATAAGTTGACTGCTGAGCTTTCTCAGGCAGTTGGATGTTTGTATAAAATAAGAAACCTGATCCCTACATGGTTAAAAAAACAAGTTTATTACTCTCTTTTTTACTCAAAGTTATGCTACTGTATTTTAGTATGGTGTACCACCACGCTCACAAACTGCAATAAGATTCTTAAATTACAGAAGAAAATTTTGCGGTTATTTGAAAGTTACACGGGAGATATGCAAGACCTTCCAACTGAGCCACTTTTTAAAAAACACGGTATACTCAATGCTAACCAAATTTATGATTTCAAGTTAATACAACATATCAAAACTGAGAAACTTTATGATAAAAATACAAGTGATGTAGTGCACAGATACACCTTTCGGCACTCTTTAAGACGACCCCCACAGATTCGAACAAATTACGGAAAGCAAACTAAAGATTATCAGGGGACCAAATTATTAAATTCAATTGGGGCCTTCGTGGATTTTAATAACTCCTTTTCTAAATTAAAAAAAAAAAGCTGAGGGACACTCTTGGTGGGCAGTCACACTGTTTTATAGCCATTTTTATACATGTACAATTTGATGGTTTTTATCTCTGAACTTGTGAAAAAGTTTCCTTCATAATATATATTACTAGTTGCGATCCTCATGATGATGTGTTATAAAGCTATGACATAATTTGAATTGCTGATTGTTCTGCAGCTGCATGAGTGTATACTATACTGTGTACCGTATGTACGAACTGCAAAGGGGACAGAGACCTTCGTTAGGCATTTTCTGCCTTTAGTCTCTGTTTCCCTTTCGGTTGATCCGAAAGAAATAAAAACTTCAATTTGGACATATGACCTCGCTGGAGACCGACCCAATGGATGACCAAGAGCTGGCCGCTGAAAAGCACACCACAAGCAGTGCCACCTTAACAAGTAAGCGAGCTTATTTACATGGGGAAAAGCGATTCGACGATCAGGATGACTTCGTGCATTCAGAGACAACACCAGCGAAGCTGTCCATCAAAAACGGTGATGCAAGGAAAGAACCCCAGGCAGACGATGACGACGATGGTTTTACCCTTGTCCAACATCGTCGAAAGAGGACAACAGGTATACCCGTGCTGCTGACTCCAACAAAAGAATCCAGCCGTTTCATCACCTTAACCCCCTCAAGCTAAGTGAAGAACTGAAGGCAGCCGCTGGCGCATCTTTTGTTCGCCATCACTTCACTGCTAAAGGAGGACTCCTCGTCGACGTAACGGAGCCGGCAACAGTTAACCGACTGTTGAAGATTCACTCTATAGGAGAAATCGCAGTTCTGGCCAATATCCCCAAGGCATATATGCAAAACAATGGACTTATCGAGGGAGTTCCTGACTGGTACTCAAACTCACAGTTGACAGAATTTCTTGAAGCCATTGGCGTCATCGCAGCTCGTCGTCTCTACCAGAGATATGGCCAGCCCGGTGAAGCAGCCAAACCAACGGATCGAGTCGTGATCACTTTTCGCCCAAATACGGAACGCCCTACCAAGGTAAGCCTTGGCTTTACTCGACATGAAGTGGTCGACTATGTTGAAGCGCCACCAAGGTGTTTCAATTGCCAAGCGTTGGGCCATGTGGTTAAATATTGCAAGGGAAATGCGAAATGCAAGCATTGTAGTGGGACTCACTCCATAAAGGACTGCAAAGGCGAATCACCTGTCAAATGTTCCAACTGTGGTGGGAACCATCCAGCCGATTATGTTAATTCTAAGGCAAGACTCCAGGCGCTTGCCAAGGAGAAGCTTTTTGTCCGCGGCCCAGATCCTATCAAAAGCACAGAAGGTGAAATTGTTGAGCGCGGTATGCCGTCATCGAGCACAGCTCATAAGGAGGATGAAGTCACCGTTGAGGTGGACACACGCTACCGACCTCCAAAGTACAAGGCGAAAAAACAGAGAGCAAGCCCAACTTCAACCATGGTACAGCAGAAGGAAGCTTCTTTAGAGACCAACGACATGGTAACATCTTCCCCAAAAACAGCGAATGCACCCGCTGCCCAAGTACCAAGTCAAGGTGCTCTACGGGAAGGCACTTATATAGCAAAGTGGTAACAGATACCAGACCCCCTCAGAGTACTACCAGATCTCAGCAAGGATCCATGGCCGATTGGAGACATAGTAAGTTTCATTTTTTCTGTATTGCCGAAATTCTTCGCTATCCTACCGGCAGGTATTTTCAAGACCATACTCCAAGGAGCTATGTTTCTACAACCAGCCATAGTAGAGATGACACGAAACCTGCAACCGTGTCATGGCTGACTCTTCAAATTGTTAACCTAGCTCTAAAGCCAAAGAACGACACTTAC